ATTGTAGTTCAGGGTGTCTACAGCTTAGGTACGACTGGATTCCACAACAGCTCCCCCAAAATAGTGCTTGCCCTCCAGGTGTATTGGGACACAAAACCTATCATTCCCAACCAGTGTGGTCTGGGAGTATATCCTTGAAACATGGAAACTGTAATCTAGTACATCTGGATAGGAAAGTTCCCTACAGACAAGCTTCTTAGTTTTGTGTGTGTGTGTGTCAGGAGCGACTTGAGAAACTGCGTCACTTCTGGTTTGAGAGAATTGGCCATCTGCAAGGACATTGCCCAGCATGTTTTGATGTTTTACTATCCTTATGGGAGGCTTCTCTCATGTCCCCACATGGGGAGCTGGAGCTGACAGGGAGCTCATCTGCGCTCTCCCTGGATTCGAACCTCCAACCTGTCGGTCTTCAGTCTTGCTGGCACAAGGGTTTAACCCACTGCACCGCTGGGGGCCCAGCTTCTTAGTTCTTAACAGTGAAGCTGCACACACAGAGACTTGAATCATAAGGAGAACTAACTACAGAAGAGGAGATCCTGCATAATGTGCTATATTGTCTATTTGTTTTTCCCCTTTTTATTGTTATATTCTTAATTGGTTTTGATTTTGATTGTTTAATTACATGGTTAACATTTATATGAGGTGACACTTTAGCTATTTTTATTTTTACTGTTGTAAACCACAATGAGTCCCAAATGACAAAAATACGTGGGATGGCGATAATAATGATAACAGCATCAGAAAGGCAAGCCATTAGGGACTAATAAAAGGAAGCCTGAAAAATGATATACATGAAAACAAAAGTATAATTAACATAGCTCCCAGGTAGAGTTCCGCATAGTTTTAAGCAAATCTAGAAGAAAAAGAAAACACATGTTTCATCATTCCTATTAAACACTGTATAAAGCAAAAAAAGATACTTTGTTATTTTTTTCTCCAATCCTGAAAGATATGGCCAAGAAACATACCCAGGAGTTGCTTAAACATATTCCGGGGCTTCTTTTAAAAATGAGGACAAAAACTTTCAGCCTGATACTGAAGCCTTTACAATGGCCACATAGTACCATTTGTGAACCATGTATGGGTGGGTAGTCTCCCCGTAAGACTCTGCTTTGTTTGGAATAGCAAACACCTCTCATCCATTGGAAACATCTCTAGATAGAACAAAAAAAAACTTCTGCATTAAATCCAGCAATGCCAATGTCAATAGTATTGGGCTAGCTAGATGGAAGGTAACTTCCATATTCCTCTACATTAGTGGTTCTCAACTGTGCATCCCCAGATGTTTTGGTCTTCAACTCCCAGAAATCCTAATAACTGGTAAACGGTGAGATTTCTGGGAGTTGTAGGCCAAAACACATGGGGACCCACAGATTGAGAACAACCACTCTACACACTCCTATGGAAAAATAGACCTAATTAAGATTTTCCCACTCCCCATGTTCTCCTGATCTATAAGAGATGGATCTGATAGTTTTCACAAGCCAACACTTCTAAATTAACAATGGGGGTTTAGTGGTATTGTGGTGCTACTTTGCACAAACAAACAAAAAAAAAGCACAAGAAGACAGGTTTCTATGACTCAATACCACTTAATGTTACAATAAAAAACACATTTTACAGGATCCCAGCAGGTGTGAATAGCAACTATATTTACTCTTAAGCAACCACACAAGCATATCATCTTAATTACAGAGGCAGAGAGTGCTGGAAGGTTGGGTGGAATTGTCATCAGTCACTTGTGGCTTGCTTCATTTCCAGGATCAGTTGATTTTTTGGTGCCTGGGGCACTTGGCAGAAGAGTCAGCCCTTTGTGCAATGGCTTCTCTTGGCTTAACTTTAAGTTTTGCGAAGCGTCCCACTGCAGTAAAGCAAAAGCAATTTATAGCTAAAGAAGAGTGGCATGGCAATGTACCCAAAGAGGCCATCAGTGGGATGAGACCAATGCAAGTATACTGCCTGGTCATACGTGGATTTACAAGTAAAGGGAACAATCAGCAGTAGTGGACAATGCATGTATGTATTGGAAAAACCCCATAATCGTGGAACCCATATCCACAGTTTCGTTTACACATGCTGGAGAGGGTCTGGATGAAATTTTGGGAGGGGGGATTAGGTTATAACTAGGAATGTATCCCTCATGGATAAGAGGCTCTTACTGTATTTGAAAATAATGGTTTAATGGTTGATTTTATACCAGAAATTGCATATTTCACTTGCACTGACTTTCTATAGAATTCTACCTCCATGTCATGGATGGAAAACATGTAGCCCTCTAAACAATGTTGAAATATAATTGCTATCATGCATCCTTTATGGCTATGCTGGCTAGGTTTAGTTGAAGTTGTTGGATTAAAATATCCAAAGGGCACATTCCCCCCAACTCTGATCTACATTTTGTAGCATTTTGCATTCTCTCTCTCTCTCTCTCTCTCTCTTGGTTAACTAAACTGCTGCAGGTAGGGGCTATCCACAGAAACTGGTTCACTTATTCACATGGGCTGACAAAATGAGTGGTATGTCTCTTGTTGTCAGCCTAGTAGAGCTATGATATGAACAAATTCTTACACAACACACTTCCAAAGAAACCATCTTCATTTTCTTACTGTGAATCCAGAACACAAAAGGCCAGAATAAGATATGTTAAGGCAGCTCACTTCCATCTTCTCTCAAGTAGATCTAATATATGCACAACTAGGTGATTCATGCAAAACCTCAACAGACATGGCAACTTCTTGGTGAAATTACAAACTCATGATTTATTAGAAAGTGACTATTCAAAACCATGCAGAGATTATCAAGGCTAGCAAGGGTACTATTTATGCAGGATGTTTATCAAAGCCACCCTTGCAGAATGTTCAAACAGCTAAAATTAAAATTGTCCTGTGCTTGTAATAATGTGAAATGGAGTTCCCAAAGATCACCGTGGTGTTAAAAGCCAAATCTACTTCTCAATAGAGTTCTAATTGGCCTGCTACTTTCTTCTCTCATGCCAGCCACATCAGACATGCCAAACACATTACGGTATTACCGTATCCTTTTATACCCCAGTAGCTTGTGTTTCCATCTCCTATTGAATATCTATACCATTAGCTCAAGATGCTGTAGCCAAGAGACCACGGCAACAGAGCAAGCCTTACAAGCATCCAAGAAGAGACAGGGTTCTCCATGAGGCTCTGTTGGTATGCAATGCCAAGAAAGTGCCATACTAGAGCAGTATATGCCATCCAGCTGGCCTCTACAATCATCCTGAACTAGCTAAGGCCTGCAGGCAGCTCAAGGGTGGGGCTCAGCCTCTTTGGTCAGCTGCTTAGTTGTCATGACTGTAAACTGAGCTGACAAGAAAGCATATTCTTATAGCTAAATCTTTTCTTGTCCCTGTACATCTTTCAGGAGCCTGAAAACTATACAATGGAAAAAGGCTGCTGGCTGGAATAAGGAACAAAATAGAATCAGAAGCAGGGTGGGAACACCTGTGCAGAGAAGCTGCAAACTGAAAGTATGCTATTTTGTTTGGGGGGAAAAAAACACATTCAAATTCACCTGAAGCTATGAAACCTTCTGGGTGGTCTTGTTTTTCAAACTAACCACACCTCACAATGGTGTTGATGATGGTAACATGATTCTATGGAAACCATCATGTTTGATCTCTTCTCCAAAGAGAAGGGGCAGGCACTGCTCTAAAGCTCAGCAAAAGAAAATGCAATGTGACACCACTTAAACACAACTTTCCCCTAGCAACTACAGGATTGGCCAGTTCAAAATCTCAGAGTAAACACAGCAGGAATGAAGAGCTACAGGAGATGTACTCTTCTAGCACATTTAAAATACAGCTAGTTGCTTGCTTGCTGGTCATTCACACAGAAGTTTGAACTAAAAAAAATCCTTAGTATGTTACCCATGCTTTCAAACAAGAAAAATCAATTTAAAAATTCTACACCAAATAATATCAATCTCAGAACAACTATGCAACTCAATAGTTTTTGCTATTATCTTTTTAATTTTAAAAATCAGCTTCTCTTCATCTGAGTGACAAAGTACTTTGTCAGACACAGAAACCCTTCCCTTCCCATTTATTTATTTTCCAAGATTTCACTTAGCATGAGGATATAGAATATATGATTCTCAGATGATGTTCGGCTGCAGCTTTTGACTGGGAAGAGATATATTATTTGTTGTGCAAAAATTCCAAGTCTTGTGGTGCTTTCTGGAAACAAATTAACCTGAATTCTTAACACATATGCTTTTTTGAAGACTTGGATGTTTGGACAAGCCTTTGAGAATGTCTAGCCTCAATAGGCCACAATTAATGACACAGCAGTGCACTTTCATCCCATGCCCTAGTTTATGAGCGACAACTTGCACTATCTTATTCCCTTGTTCCTGTGTACCAGTGCTTCTTAACCTGTGGGCTGCTGACCACCAATTTTATATACCATTGACTTTATCTTTTATTGTATTGTGTGCTTATTTTATGCATTGTTTTAGGCACATTGTGCCATATGTAAGCCTCCCCGAGTCCCTTCTGGGAGATGGAGGCAGAGTACAAAAATAAAGTTGTTGTTGTTGTTAATAATATTTATATAGAAGGTCCCAGGATCTACTGACCCCCTCCAAATAATAATAAAAATGATGATAATAATCATAATAATAAAAATAACTTTTATTTCTATCCCACAACCATCTCCCAGAGGGACTCAGGATGGCTCACAGAATACTCAAGGAGTGACACGCAAAATACTACAAGTACAAAACAAAAGATATACAATAAACAGTCAACACAACATCATAAATTCACAATACTCCTTGGTAAAAACAATAAAATACAGCAATTGCTGTAGATAAAACAGCAGTGTTAGATGGCCATGGTGGACATCTGGGCCACTTCGAAAGTCTAGAACAGCTCAGGAATAAGCAGAAACATGGCACAATTGTCTAAAATACCCGTTAGAATATGAATGATACGACAGAGGGAAAAGACCTTGTAACCCCATGCTTACCTTGACATCTTGTTCAAGACTGTGGATGAGCTCTCCGTCCACCTGGCCGGTCTGTGCCACACGGAGACTGCGTCGCTCTGCCTTGCGGAGACGGTACTGCAAGATACGGCAGGTCTTACTGGCCTGATCCAATTGCTGCCGGAGTTCCTGTAGTTGGTAGACATCTTCCTCCATATAGACGTCTCTCATCTCCAGCATCTCAGCACGTAGTTCTTCAATCTCATCCTGGGGAAGACAACAAAGTTCTCAATAGATGGCCAGGATAACTATCACAAAGCTGTCATGTGAGGAATATTGTCTCTCTGTCAAAAATGACATGAAATCTAGAAGGAAAGGGGCCAGTACTTGTATGTGTTTATTAAACATTCAGTAAGTTCAAAATTGTTTGAAAGAAATGTAGTTCTTTTTCCCATACAATGTGGCCAGAATATATTCTTGGACACATTCCTACAAGCATGGTGGGGCAATAGCAAATCATAAGCTGTATGCGACAAACACATTCAACTCTTTTTGGATATCCTCAGAATTTCTTTTAATGAACTGCTGAAATTTGGCTGCAAATTACTAAATGTTGGATGTACTGGTCAATGGAATAGTCAATATCAGTTCAATGAGTTCCTTTTAGTTGCATGTGTCTTTATCTCTTTAAGTGTAAATATGAGTGGGCTGTTGATATTAACTGAGGAAGAATTTAATGAATGATGAATAATAATTTAATTAAAATTAATAATATTTAATGAATTTTATTTTAATTAATTCCAGCTAATATTTAATATATTTCATATATATGCAAATGTAATGTTTTTGAACAATAAAAACCATGTGGTCCTGAGCTTTCCAGGCCCACCTGGAAAGGAGGCTATCCATTCTACCTATGTGTTAAACATACAAGTGACAATGATATACCATTATTTCTTATTCATGATTCTGTATTTATTAATAGTTTTTAAATAAACTGACATACCTATATTGCTATATGTATAAATAAATACATATTTACTATTACAGTATTTTTTTCTGTTTGTATGCATTCTCAGCAACAAAGCTGGCAATATATACATACATTAATGAATTAGGATTTCAAAATTTTTGCATATGTATTTCTTCCTCTGTCTCTGGGTAATTCATGCTAAAGACAAAATAATTCCACAAATTATCTAGTTTTCTGGTAAAAAGCTATTACCCTCTATAGACACTGATAATTACCATTGTAATAGAATCAACTGTCACTATTCCTATAAGGTTTCAAATGCTACTCTCTTACTACATGGCAATACATATTCAGAACCGTATTTGTGGTATATTCATTCATTTTTTATCTTGTCTGCTTTAACATGCAAGTGGGGAAGGGTCTTCGGTTCTGACCACCTTCACTCACACCATCACTTTCCATACATGGAAAGCATTGCATCTGAAAAGGAGATGTTCCTATTTGCATGGTAAGCCTAAAAACAAGCAAAACTCCCAAAATATTGGAATTTTTGCTCAGATATATAATACCCTCCTCTGCAGACACATCACTTTTCATATTAAAAAAAAAAAACAATGATGGAGGAGGAAAAGCAAAGCATTATTCAGCTCAAGCATTGAAGAATTCAAGAAATAACAACTGAATACAGCTTCTGGCAAACAGAATCTTTATTCACAACAGCAGTGCACAACTTCATGTAGCAGCTGCCCATTTCACATGGGTCTCCAAAAGGTGATGGAACCTTATCCGCTACAAGTCTATGTCAGGAAAGCATGGGTCCTAGCATCTGACCTCCACAGTTCACTTCTAATACATCCTCCAGGGCTGAAAAGTATAGTCATTCCTGTTGTACAGAGAAAAATATGGGATGGAAAAGCCTTTATGTAAGACTCTGAAATCACATAAGACTAGTTTGCCAGTGCCAGTCCATTAGCCCTAGTAGACAGAAGCAAATACACCAACTGGTCAACCGTCGGTTGACCAGCACTCATGGGTATTAGTAAATGGTGAATAAATGTAATTTCTGGTTGCTTGAGAGTTACTATTAAAATAGGCCTAATACTATACCCCAACCTATACCATACCATAAGCTCAGTATTGAATTAATATTCATATTGAAATACAACAATTAAAAGTAAGTACAGACAAACTTAACAGAGTGTAACATAGTTTTACTGTTTTCGTGTATTATAAAAACAGGGTTTTTAAAATTTAAAATCTTATTTCTTCTATTTTATTTTTGCCAGCTGTTTGAGAGTTCTGGTTGTTTAAGTTCTGGTTAACTGAGTCCATTGTATAGAATTAGGTTAAAACACAGCATATAAAGATAAAAGCCACACAGCACCAGCCGCAAGGGCTTTATCGCCCTGAGCTATAACAGAAACTGTCGTTATAAATGCAGCAATGTCAAAATGGGTCATATATTCTTTCTGGGATTCTGACTTCCTCAAATCAGAAGAGTTTGTAAGTGCTCTGTGTCCCAATGAACCAAACCTTCAGTGAACTGGAAAGAAAATGCAAGTTTAAGACTCTTTCATGCTCCACTAAAATAACAATTTACTTCCCATAGTTTCAATGTTTAGTGAGGAACATTTAGAATTCTCTGCCAAAGACCAGCTTAAAGATTAAAAGCTAATAGTACTTGATGACTTCCATGTCAAAGGGCCAGTGAATCCTCTCTAGATTTTAGGCTGTAGCTTTAAGGAGCTATCCAAGATCAATTTATTTGGGAGACATAGTCCAGCACTTTGAATAGTAACATTAAAGTTCAGATTTTGAAAAAGAGAATTAAACCCCCCTGCTCTACATGGAAGCCACCAGACAACCCTGATTAAAGAACAAACAGGATTTCCCTGTTCACTCTCCCATTCCAGGATACTTTGAGAGACTCTCTTGATATCTTGGCACATGGCCATTTTCTTTTGTTTCACTGAATTTGTTTATATAATTCACTGGGCAGATCTCACTGGGTTTCCATGACTGAAGAAATACAACTTTGTGGCAATCAAACATCTTCAGTAAGCATATTCTTAAACCAGTCTTGGAGTTTTGCCTATATTTTCATGGGCTCTGTTCACACTACCATATCTGTGAGCTACTTCTTTCCATCTATATCAGAAGGGGTTAAAGGATACTATCCTGTGTTTCATCACCTTAATTTCCAATTATTAATGCAACCAACCATTTCTATTAAAATAAACATAACTAACATGGTCTTCACATCTTCATGTACAGTGACACTTTTGATCACTTTCAAGTCATTTCCAACTTAGGGTGACCTTAAAGCAAATCAATTCTGAGTTTTCTTGGCATTTGTTCAGAGGGGATCAGCGATTGCCCTCCTCTGAGATTAAAAGCGTGTGACTTGTCCAACGTTACTCATTGAGTTTCCATGGCTGAGAAGGGATCTGAATCCTTACCACACAGAGTTCTAATCCAACACTCAACCCTCGATACTACACTGGCTCTTTATGCCACACTGCTTCTCTAAATCGATGCTTCTTAAATTGTGGGTCCTGACCCTAAATGGAGTTGCCATAGCTTTATGTTGGGGTTGTGACAGAATTCTGGCAGGGCAGGGCCAAAAGAAGAGATGAGGGAGGGAGAGGAGGCATCCTTTTTTTTTGCCCTGGAATCTTGTTGCCTCTGATTGCCTTGGAGAAAGAAAAGGGAAGGGAAAAAGGAGAGAAGGAGGGCTTTGTTGGGGACCCCAGCCTTGAGGTCTGTGTGACAGAAGGAGCATCCCTCCTGTCTGTGTATCTTCCTTTCCATCTTTTAAGTCTTCTCTCTCCCTATCTTATGAGGCTTTTCTACAGATCTGGGAATCTGGTGGTATTTCCTTCCCATCTTGGGTGTCAGGTGAGGTCTCTCTTTTCCTCTTCTTTCCATCCTTTTGGGTCTTTGTCACAGTGAGAGAGATGTGGTATGTAGACTAGATTCTTCCTCTCCTCTTTCATCCAGTTTGCCTCCTGACTCGGGTGTCCCATTTATGCTTCATACTTCTCCCTTCCTCAACAGCTTAACTGACATATCTGCCCGTGAGGGCACTGGCTTTTCTCCTTTGAATTCTTTGTGTGGAAGAGGAGAGAGATTGCTTTTTAAAAATACCAAGTTGATTTAAGATAAATTTATGATTTATTATCAGTAAATGTTTGATTTGTATACATATTTTACATATCTGGGGTCACATATAAATTTCACAGATAAAATGGGTTTGCAACTTGAAAAGGTTTATGAAACCCTGCTCTAGATAGAACTAGGGAAACCTGCTTCAGGAATGGACTAGAGGCCACATCATTCAAACCAGACTAATCTCAATTGCTTTCCACTCTTCTATTGTAGATGCCACGTGGTATAGTTTGGCCTTCATAGCCTTCACACCTGTCCTAAATGGAATTCTGCTACCCAGAATTCTATATTCAGTACTATCCAATGCTGTTAGCACCCTTGAAGACATGAGCTCTTCTCTATATAATATGGTATAGCAAATGATTAAAACTTGTTTGGCACTAAGAAGTGGGGAGATCTAAGGCGGAAAGCCACAATGATATCCAGTTTCCTGCTAATTAACACAAATCACATTCCACCAGGAAGTTCTGAGTAAGAGCACAAGAATTTCCACTGCTATTCATTTCAGTGAGGCATATGGAGAACCATCCTCATGGATTATTCCCATCACTGAGGTTTATCTTTCTGTAATGCCACCCATAATTTGTCATCACATTCAACCTCAGGAAATGGCCATAAGACTGGACTGTGGTCAGAACTACTAAAGTAAGCCCCCAAAATATGAAATGCCACTAAGCTTCAAAAACTACTTTCCTTCAGTCATTCCAGCACAGTACAGGTAATCTCCAGGTTAAAAACAAGAAACGTTCTTTAGATTTGTTCTTAAATTGAATTTGTATGTAAGTGGTAACAGGTACATTTTTAAGTGTAACTCCACACACACATATACACAAACACACACAGAAGCATTGGAGAGCACAGGGAAGGGTTAACACCTCTGTGGTATTTGTTCTGCTGTCTTTGCCCCTGTTAGAAGATTTCACCTCACTTTCTGTCCTGTGATAATTGGATTTTGAAAATTCTGGCTTGTGGTGGAAACAAGGATTGGAGATAAAGCTTCAGTGGAGACACTTTTTCCTCATGAAAACCCTTTCAGGAGTGAATTTCCCTTCCTAGGGGAACATTTCTCTCACCTCCTGTTGTCTCACCCCCATTCTTAATTATGACTAATTTGTAAGTCGAATGT